AACCCTAATTTTTAGTGTTCGAACCTAAATAGTTATCTTATTATATAAAAGAGAATGCGCGCGATGAGAGCTTGACACGTAGGCAAAATTCTTAAGCATCAGATTGTGATATATGTAATTACTAATTTGGATTGTGACATGTGTGAATATTAACAAAAATATTTAAAAATAAAATAAGGAATATATTATTATATAAAGGAGGATGCGAGCGATGAGAGCTTGGCACGTAGGCAAAATTCTTAAACACCAGATTGTGATATGTGTAATTGTTAATTTAGATTGTGATAGGTGTCAATATTAACAAAAATGTTTAAAAAAATATGGAATATATTCTAAAGAAGGATTATGGACTAATGAAGAAAAAGAAAAAGAAAAATCGCTCTACTAAACTATGTAATATTTCCAATATTAATAAAAAAATAAGGAATATATTATAAACAAAAGTTAGAGACTAATAAAGAAAAAAAAGAAAAAACCGTTATATTAAAATATGTAATATTTCTAAATTTTTATATTACAAAATACATTCTTTCCATTATAAATTATCTAAATAGTTAAAGACAAAAGAAAATGTCATATTTATAAGTGTGAATTTGCTACTAAAAATATAACATATAAATATTACATAAGCTGTAAAATAAACAAATAATACATATAGTATAAAAATCTCAATTAAAATAAAAATAAAGACGAATGATAAAAAGAAGGTAGTTAAATTGGAAAAACAAAATTTAGAAAGGTTATAGAAACCTCAATTTAAAAGTTTAAAATATACTCAACCATGCAAAAATAAAATAAAAATATAATCTATAAGAACACTTATTTCATAAATATAGAGTTCTAAAATATCACAAAAAATGGAAATTTTTGACCTATGATGCCAGTGATACTCTTCAATTGTATATATATTGAAAATTTATATAAGTTAAAAAATAATAATACTATTATATTTACTATTAAGTTAATACTGTATAAAATTTMGCGAGTATAAATRTCTATGAGAAATAAAACGATGACACTAATAAAATACAATTATCAATCATGTAATTATGTGATGGTTCACAACATTATTTAAATTTTTATGAGTTTACTAACATAAAATTTACTCATTCTTATTTAGCTATATAGTTTTTTAGTTYCTTTTATTTTCTACCACATAATCYTAAATATTRATAATTGGTTAAAATATATTTTTTGGTCTAAATTCGGATACTATATATTTTTGGATTTGCATGATATGTATTAGAATATGAGAGATGATACAAATTAATTTCTACTGGTTTTAGGATCCACGTTAAATAATATTTTTAAAATTTAACGGATCACTAATTAAAACTTAAATATTTATTTCATTAGTTTTTATAGTATTTATCCGTGTATTAACGCGGATCCTATTCTAG